TATCTACCATTGCAAACTACCAAGGCTTTTGTTTGGGGATATTATGACAGATGGAACAAGTCTGGGTAAGTAGGAGCAACACCGAACCACCTCCACTTCGGATACGGTCCTTTTGATCATAATGACCGGGGTACACCTCAACGTGAACCGAGATCTGAATAGAGATTGCATGTCGCAATCCAACTACACAGCGGATACTCCAAAATAAACTTTGAATTCCTTACTGATGTGTCAAGCGTTGTACACTGCTCTCAGATCCGTAATGATCTAACCGTCACCCTTTGAGGACTATGCGCCGAGTTCCACCTGAGCACAGCCTATCTCCATCTGATGAGTGCAAATAAGGAGAAAACCGGTTACGGGATGTCAATGTAGGCAGCAGCAACACCGAAACACCTCCAAGTCCTGCACGTTTTTGATTGCACCTCCGTGTGAGGTCGCAGGTGCAGCTAGATCGAAGTTCAGCGACGATGTCAGACCTAATTGATGTTCTTTGCATAGGCTTACAAATCCGCGCTATGCCTTTACTGAAAGATGGAAGCGTCCAAACACCCGAACGCCCTCCGTAAGATCCCAGCATGGTTTGCTATTTTTGGCATCTTCACGTACTGCCAAGAGCAGCAGAGGTCAGCTTGCATTCTTAACCCAATGTCATTCTCAAATGAGGCGTATGTAAAGATGTGGTCTCTAGGTTTTTTCATACGTTAGGGAGCATGGGTACGTACTTGCACACTTATCCGTTTGGAAACGGAAGTAGACTGGTATTTGACCACATAATCGGTTTTACTAAGACATGGTTAATGCTGAAATGACGGACGCTGTAGTCTCGCTGCCTGATATGTCACACAGCTTCAACGACAGGCCCACCAATGGAGGAGGAGAAGAAGTAGTAATGTATCACCAAACCGACGTACAGTGCAAGGCCGTGGAGGATTCAGGCTCACAGTTCGCTCATCGAGGTTGTCAGCAATTCACCACTCGTCAAATATGGCCAGAAAATCAGACACAGTTTCAAAAGAATGGTCTTGCAAATTTAACGAAGAAGAAAAGTATCATTCTGGTTGGCAAGGTGGACTCAGACGTCGTCCTGTCAACAGTTCCCAAATTCCGCTTATTTTATTCACTGAGTGGCAGAGAATAGAATGGAGATCCCAAGTCAACTGCTTCTGTTCCTAGTTTCTTGTGGTATCGCTCAGGATGAGATAGTAACAACCCTACAAGATCCTGCAGTTCTCAGTTGGTAGGTGTCTAACAAACGTTTAGAGCAAGCTCCTGATAGCGCATTAACAATTAGGTTTGGTAGTCGCGTCAAATCATTAACACCCGAGTAGAGAAAGTAACGTCTGAACGGAGTTTGAACCTCCGCAGTTTAAACAGCTTCTAGCGACGCCCTCCATTCGAACATCTAAGTCTTAGCAAAAATAGCTGTCACAGCTCATTTCCTAATTCTTCTCGTAGCATACGACTAGTAAAAATGATGTCTCCAAGACGTCAGCCATGGTCTAAGGGCAAGGCGTTAATCTTCTGGAGTCTGGCTGGATGGGGGAATTCGCATAGCCCAAAGACAAATTTCGAGCCTCGCCACTGATCCTTTTCGTTCTACTAACTTTCAAGCTCCCATTGTGCCGCTGTTGGTGGAAGTTCGAATTTAAAGGTTGGACGGATATGGGAAGTGAAGAGAGGTCTGAATATCTGCTTCTCCTGTCTAGTAATGTGCCATCGTTTCTCGGGATGAATGGTGACCTCGAGAGCCTTTTTCAACTAATAAAGTATTCGAACCCAGGTATAGTGATGGTACAAGAAAGTTGATTACATCAGGGCAATAAAGTTGGAGTAGTGAAAGGAAACGTCCACGGACCCTTCAGATCCGATCGCTCAGGAAAACGCTTGATCACGTACAGTCGTAAAGATTGGTTGGTAAGGGTATTCCAGCTGTCCGCTTACTCAACGGCTACAATAAGTTATAAACTGTTAAAATGTGAACCAAAGTTTCCTAATGGTTTTCTAGCGGTTTGTAGTCGGGAACGTTAATTTAACACCTAACGCAGCAAGGACAGAAATAAAAATGTTTGCAGATCACTGTGCCTCGGAATTGCAACTGACGTAGAACTGTTTCCTATGCATCATCTCTGGTTTCTTCGATTAAATTGCTGGTTCTAACCAATTATTTAATGTTCTCCACCAAGTTCGACGCATATTTGGATTTAGTTTTTACTGACAAACGTAACCTGCTTCTACACAACGACGCGCTACATTGTCAATTCGCATTAATGCGTCGTGGAGTTCTGCCTAGTGACTTGCGGTTAAACCATTTTAGTTACGATGACAAGAAGGCCATTCAGAACTGTTAGGCGGCGAAATGGTTTTACGTAGAACATTACAAAGCTCAACTGGACACTGATCAACCGACTTTACAATTTTCGATAATGTGGATCCCTCAACTCATTGCGAACTTCTCATAGACTGCATTAATTTTAATGAGACCCAGAATGTCGAAACAGCGCTGTCTGGTGCTTTTCCGGACTTATTAAAGTCTGCCGACTGACAGTAGGCTGTGACGAATTATCACCAATTATATCAATTTCTCTTACAATCTTTATCGCCCCAATGAGACCATCTGTATCTGCAAATCCACTGTCGTGTTCAAATACTTTGTTTTGTTTTTGTCCTCGATTCTCTTATCCTATACACTTATATTTAACACTCGTTGGACTAATCATGTGATCTTGCACTTGATTGGTTGTCATTTGAACCTCTACCGATTTAATTCTACTACATGTGTGTGCAGACAGTTTCCTCCATACATAAGTTCCGGTGTTGCCCTGGTCTGCTGCTTTTTCGGGATACAACATCCACTACTTAATCAGCTGCATACGATAGGAGCAGACTCACATGTACAAGCTAACAGACCGTGACAAATGTCTGTCTGTAGCTATAAACTCCAGATAACAAGACTGAACATCCTGTAAATTGAAGCCGTTTTAGGAAGTCACAAGTGTCGTGACCATTGGAGAAACTTTGAGCAACACACCAGGAACTATTGCAAGACCCCACTCAGTGCACTAAATGTGGACGAGCTAAACGTTGAATTCAACTCCTCAACATCACATACATCCCCACTATCTTTCTATTGTATCAGTGAACCTACCACCTTATTTCACCATACCAGTCTTTACTGGGAACTCACAAGACTACAGCAAATCAAGGCTAATGGTCTTGATTCCCTGCAACTAATCGCTTCTAATGAGCGTGCGGATACAATACAGACAGCGATCAATATAGCAGGTAGGCTATATAAACTTTACTGTACAGCACAGCATTAAACCTGAGCGAATCTACAGCATGGAATAAAAAATATATGCTAGTCTATCAATACGTGTTGAGTACAGGCTGGTAAAAATTGACTTCCTCAATCGCAACCACACAAATTTGCAGGATGCGACGCGTGCGATTCATTGGTCTCATGGTTCAACAGACAATATAGAGCAGTAAGTTGGCGCAATTCGCTAACTAAGCATTTCATTAATTTCGATAGAAGATTTATATGGAGTTTTCGTCTTTTGAATGACGCGCAGTAATCATCAATTAAGGAAAGATGGATGCAGTTGCAGAGGGTTGCTTCATTTTCATTGAAAGTCCGTCATGCGGGAGGTGTATTAGCTAACGTAGTTGAATAACCCAGCTTTATTACCATCCATAATGACATGTAGTTTGGATCTCCAGATGATGTCTGGTTCAACAACGAACCAAGGCACAGTTACCAACAAGAATTAGCAGAATCCCCCCAGTGGAGTTAATCGAATACTATTTTCATTTATCAAATAATGCGCAGTTTTGTATACTTAGGTGGCATACGAATTAGAACGAAGCCGCGTTCTAATTAACTATTCCGTTATTGGAGCTTGTCTGGTTTATTACGATGCGCATAAATAAACCACGATCACGCTATAGATGGCTGTTGCTATGTTCGACATCTATATGTATATATATAAAGCCTTATATCTCCTGCTTGTAGATCCTCGAAGCAGTCATCTATACAAACTAAGTTTAGTCTGCCTGCTTATCAAAATGTGCCCAGTTTACCTGATCGGCTTTCTGCTTATAATGCTGTCCCATTGGTCCTCTGGAACCTGGTCCAACCGATATGAAGTTTGTCGTAAGTCCAGTATGTGCATAATGTTAAAATGCACTCATGACGTTTGTCAACCTTGGTTACGGAATAGCATGCATGCAATGCACAATCTAGAAGAATTATGTCTCTCGTTTACCGGCCGCGTTCTCAACGTGGCATGCGACATTAAAATTACCACATTTGGCAAAGCTAATAGCGTGCTACAGTCGGGAGGCAAAGCCAAAATAACGGTGGAATTCAAGTACTGTGAGTTTGCTACCTCAGTTGTTGCTGTCTCACACTAAGAACTGTCAGAATGAACCGAATAATTTGTATCTTTACTTTGCATAGACGGAGAATTATCATCCGCTTTCGTCATGACCACCGCGGTTGTAACTACGCCACCATATCAGTTCCTTCTTTTTGATTCCCGGGTGGACTGTCGCAGACTCCGTACTAGTGAATGTCAAATGCGCCGATATGGAAATCAGTACTTGTTCCATCATCAAATTTCGATCAGTTCACAGTGGCCACTGGTAAGTAGAAGTACAAATTTAATAAACAGCATCTGTATGCGATTGTATAGACGCCCATCTAAGCAGTTGGGAACCAAATGGCTTCCCATTGGTTCATAAATATGTGCGTGTCAGCCCCAACTTTCCGCGAGATTTGAGATAAACAGTACTGACTAGTCACATAATGCACTGTATAAGATGAAGCAAAAAGAGATTTTTCTCACATTTTTATTAAAACCAAAAAATGCAAAGATGAACAAACGTACTATTATTTTAGTTTTGTTGCTAATGTACCCTCGATATACATACTCTTCCTCAATTCAGGGCAAACAGCAGATACAATGGACGTTCTCATCAAATGGTACAGTAATATTGTGTGAAAATGTGTTTGTTTACGTTGAACGCTAATACTTTGCATATGTGCCCCATTGAGGCAAATTTGTGACAGCGCAGACGTTTGTGCGATTAACATATTTTCCATACTCAAAATACATATTACTCTCATCCGATCCGTTGAGTTCTACAATTTTATGGTTGGGCCAAAAACAGATGGAGGTTGGCTTCATTTGTTTCACATTTCGCTGTTCAAGTTTGATCAAAATATGGCAGAAAATAATACACAATGTTTTAGACAACCGTAATGATATTGAAAACCTTTCTTCAACGTCCATGACGTTGGAATTGAACAAAGGAACAAAGGAATTGAACAAACATTTAGGTAGATTTTGACTGAATAACGTTCAATACTATTGCATTTAATCTGAGGCCTTTTGGTACCTTATACAATGTTTCTATCAGGATATTTCCCTTCATCTCGACTCCATATGTTAGCATTTCCATAGATGCAATAATAATTTGGTCACCTATTACAATCAGCTATTCATGTACTGACTGCTGTGTACAATACCAAATTAAACACAAAACAACGACGTACAATGATCGATGATTTGTGATGCGTTAAAGAAGATTCTTTGACGTTTCGTTAGATGTTGTAAGTTAGAATTAGAGATGAAGACTTACATTGCCAGTAAAAAAGTGAATATTTGTGGTGAAGTTCACTCGTCTAGTTATTCACTCCAATATATATATATATATATATATACTTGCTCTTCACCGCTGCCCCACAAGAACAGTTGAGGAACACATAATATTTGATGTACGTTATTCCGCTTTTAGAAGCAAAGCGGGCCACCTTATCTTATGCGAAACGGCTAATGTGTTTTCACGGAATCATTTGAATAACGCTAACGCAAGGAAAATTTTGGTAAGTTAGAAGAGCACTCTAATTAGGGGCTATAGAGAAGCGAAAACGCATTTTGGCTGTCAAATCGAATGCAGTACGTCGTCTGGTTGACTAAGCAATCTATGGGGTTAGACTTCTGATACAGTCACTATAAGTCGCTACTGGTCTGATTACCAGTCGTGAAAACACAGTAAACATTAATGACGTCTATTTGCTAACAAGGCATTTGTAACGAATGCTACCGGTATGCGCAGACAGAAAGTGATTGAACTTGCATGTTTAGCTTTCTTCAGCAGCCAACCCTTGCATTCACTTCAGTTCTGAGATCTTGTTATAAATTCTATCATAGTCTATCTGCGTCAAAACGATCTGCAGCTCCCAGCTCAAGCAATAAGTTTGAGTGCGGATTTCATTCAGGTGTCAAGTTTTAGTATAAATCTGTTTGTCTTAGGAACGATTTTCTCGCGTTGAGAGCTACTTTGACAGATATGTAAGATCGAAGAAAGTAGAAGCCACGATTAAAATTCACGCACAATAATATGCCTCGACGGGGAGTCGAACCCCGGTCCACGAAATTCCGGTCCGTTGCTCTACCACCTGAGCTACCGAGGGCTGACGATCGTGGCTTCTACTTTCTTCGAACTTCACACTACTCACAAACATCCATCATTAATCTACCATCGCCCATTGGACGTCTGAAGGACAGGAACTTCGGTCTATTGGGAAGTGACGGGTGAGTGAGCCGATCTGCAACATCAGGACAGGTACTGTGAGCTTATTGGCAACACGTCGCGCACCAAGCAGAAGACATGTGTTAAAATTTGCGCACCTAATCGTCAGCCCTCGGTAGCTCAGGTGGTAGAGCAATAGATATGTAAGATGTCAGGTTTCCTGACAACCAGCTTTTCAGGAATAACCTCACTTTTAAGACATCTCATTTTGAGGATACGGTGATTTCCATTGAGCTTCAAACCAAGCCAATCTCAAGAATTCACTTGCCAGTTTTCGAACATGCGGCCCGCATAATAATTAAATATCCCGGAATATGCTAGAAACCGACTGGGAATTCATGATTTCGGAAGGTTTAGAATCAGCTCGTTCTCGTGGGTGATTTATTGTGACAATATTGCGCTCTTGACTCAAGAGCCTCTTCATACCAAGTGAATCGGTAAGTAAGTTCTTTAGATTTTCATGAAAAAGCAGGGTGAAGGTTGCAAAGAATAACACGAACCAGTGGATACTAACACTACAGTCACTAGGTCAATTGGCCATTCTAGTGTAACCATATCCCGCAGCGTACATCATTGATCTGCCTCCTCTGACTTCCATTGGTGAGGCATTGCTGTTCTTGTTGCTGCTTCTGATTCACGGTCCGACCTGAGCTCGTCCACCGACAAACCGAACTTAGTTCGTTGTTTGCATTGTCGTGACGTTAGAACCAGCAGCCCAGAGATATTGGATGCCGACGAAGATCGCATCTTCGGAACACTGCAAGTGAACGGGTACCCTGTTACCTTTTAGCAAAATGCACGCAACCATTCCGCTGCGTCTGAAAACAAACGACGATAACAAAAGAGAGGTCTTTTTCTCAATTTAATTCAACTGGTATGCCGCCCTTGACTTACTGCAGGGAATGCTCGCAAGCGCAGTAGCCAAAACCTATACGGCCACTTACTAGCGTGTGGTAGTGCTGGCTGCACCATTTGCGACACACCGTCACAGAGGCAGACTACCGGTTCAGGCCGAATTATACAATCGGTATCGATTTGTCTTCATCTGTGGTGCAAGATACCTTGGACAAATGACCAGGTGTTTAGCGAAACGGGCAGCCGAACACTGTCCTAGGTCACTACTAGGAGGCATTGCTGGAAGTACCAACAGCCCTGCCATGGAGCAGTTGCCCCTAAGCGAAAACGAAATCCGGATAGAAGACGCGTTCAGCGTTTTCTAATCTGTGCCGCTGCGTTATCCTATGTTGGTCAGAAAGGGTCTGTTGAATACCGTTATGACGATCCCAATCATGCTGATCTAGCTCTAATTGTGCTAGCAAAAAGCCCTCGTACAATCCCTCTTGCTGCTTTGGTTTCGCCGCAGTAAGTCGATGTCGCACACAAGTAGCGTAATGTCGGCCGCGAATCCTACCTCTAGTGAATCGACTTAATTATGGAATTATTTTACCGGTCTCGTTAAACAGCAGCATCCCTCAACCTAGCTTTCGTTAGCCTACCGCGTTGTTTGTTACATTCCTATAATTCTGATGGCCTGACGAGAATTATTGTAGTGAAAGCACTTCACCAATTGGGCTACAAACATTGTGCATTTCATGTCCTTCTTGGTTGTGCATATCTTCTGAATACTGAATACCGGTTCGAAGCAACGAGTAGAGCTTTCTCTGTGTAGCTGCATCATTCGTTGCTCTTTGACATATTGCCTCTTATTTGTCGTTCCGCTCTCTATATTTTGTTTCTTCCAAGTGTTTGTCTAGAAGCTTCTTAAATTCGGACACTGAGTTAGCTTCTACTATATGCTGCGGCAGGTCGTTCCAGATATTCACCACTCTGCGTTCGAAACAGAGTTGGTGAGCGACCCGCTTCAACTTCGGTACGATAATTTTAAACCGGTGTCCTCGCTTGCAGCTTGGTGTGCGCAGATGAAGCAGTTGTCTCAACATGGGGTAATCACTCAGATGTAATATCCGGTGCGTTATAATGAAGTCAACCCTCGGCCGACGATAAGCTAGGGTGTACAGCCCTAGTTGCTTACATCGGTCTTCGTATGGCATACCTCGTAAGTTGGGAATCAGCCTGGTGGCTACATGCTGCACCCGCTCAAGCTATTCTACCTCGGCCAGAGTGATGGGACAATACGCGGCAGAGTCGTACTCTAGCCTTAATCGTATTATCGAGACGAAGATGCGAGTTTCAATCTCTTCGGACCAAGTGCTGAAGCTGCACCTGAAGGCCCAAAGCATACGAAGGCTGTTTTGGTACAGCCTATTCGTGTTGTCAATGGAATTTAGGTCGCAGCTTGACAGCACACCGAGGTCGCGCACGAAAGGCGCGGGATGCAACGGTTGACCAGCCACTGTGTACGTTCGGCTGTGCTCACACTTACCCAACCTCAAAAATTGCGACTTGGCAGGGTTGATTGGAAGGTTAACCTCTTCAGACCATGTCGAGAGGCTGTCGAGGTCCTGCTGAAGTAAATCACAATCATTGAGTGTGTGGCTTGATCTCCACAACTTCAAGTCATCTGCGAACAACGCGCAAGGTGATTGGAGTAGCTGAGGCACAAACATGTTTCTCGAATCTCGAACACTGACGATCAACACATCGACAGAGTATAGCGAATCAGAAAGTTTCCATTTATGCTCCGAAAATAACACACGACGCGAACAACATCGCCATGTGCAGGATCAGAGCACGCAAGTAGTAACCGGGCCCAACGCTGCTTAACTTCGGTGATCGGACGATAACCGGTGTTTCCAGCGTGATATGGTCGCGGTCGCGGTCGCGGTCGCGTACATTCCATGGTATATGTCTGGTAGAGCGCGCACTCATTGTGACGCATTTTGCAATCGATTCGCCTAGAGCAGACTGTCCCCTTCTCATTCGTGGAATTTAATGTAACTCAAATTCATCGGTGCTTCCCATGGTGTTGTGAGTTTAGATGATGCGTGATACCTTTTTAGTGTGTTGTGGTCAGCAAGTACACCGATCGGATTACAAATGGATTGCAGTTGTTTAAGTTGGTCTATCAGTTTACTCCTGATTGCATTGGATCTGGATTCGGGAATGCTTGCGCATCTAAGACTGCTGTTCGTTATCGGCTTGAGCCCAC